CCTGTGTGAGTGAGGAAGCAATCAGCGAGCTGGGCCGTGAACAGAGGTACCTGACCAAGGGGTTTGATGCTCACATTGAAGAGGCGTCGGCTCGCACTAAATTGGTTTCTTTTATCCCGAATCCTTTGAATTTCTCTTTGCTGGCCACACACCGCAGGTTGTGGGGGATCGCCTCTGTTATCTGCGCACAATGGTGATTCAAATCAGCCAGGAATAGTAGGGAGGGAAATCCCACAAGAAAGACGGCGCAAAAATCACGATATTGCTATGGAGCAAGGACGTAGGTGATCGAAGATGATCGGACGAAGGTGTCCGATCATTTCCCGCTGTTCTATCCAAGCTAGAATAACTCACCTTCCTGTTGTAGGAGAGGTCGAGCGTTTCTAGTAGGCCAGAGTTCTCCAGTATGCTGATCACACCCTCATCACTCACTGATCGACATCTTGACAACTTCAAGCGTCGAAGTCGAGGAAGGTTCACGGCGAGAAGTGACAATCCTGTATACGGGTCACAGCCCGAGTGGGAGTCGATGGTGCAGACTGACCCGCATCGTCCATCAATGTATCGGACAAGTCGAGGAACTCCAACTCGTTGAGACTCTTCAGCGCTGATACGAGCGCCTCTGCTGTAGATGACCACCTGACAGGATCGGGGAGATCCAATAGCAACAAGTCTTAGTTCACCCCGTCAAGTTGAGTGCTTTCAGACGAGTCAATTTAGAAAGATTTGCTGGTGAAGGACACACTCCCTCCGGGTTAGACAGATCCAGGCGTAACTGATAGGCAGTTTCAATCCAACCTTCTTACAGCAGAAAGGAGGCCCCACCAGGGATGCAGACAAACGGTCCGTGATCATATCCATACCACACTGTCCGATCTTCACCATGTCGAGTCTCGGCAGAGACAGCTCCTCTAGGCAAGAGGGCGTGTCCCTCAATGGCATCGTTATATTGGAGATGCTCTCAGTTGTCATACTGGAGGTAAACCGACGACGAAGTGCTCCTGCCCGTTGGCATTAACGAGTCCAATGCTCGAGCTCTCACCAACGCGGATTATCTTCAACTTCTTGCAAGTCCTTCGAACACCAGCGAAGGTCGAATCAACAGCGGCCGAAGGGATATCGAAGAGGTCAATATGAGAGAGAGCGGCACATCTGAAAACGGAAGAATAAGAACGCATCAGCTCCGGTAGCTCAGTCGGCAGAGCGCGTGCCTTTTAAGCCCGTGGCCGCGGGTTCGAGCCCCGCCCGGAGTGTTTTTACCCTACCTCTTGATGAACAAATTAACCGCCTTCCCGTTCAACTTCCCACAACCCCTCAAGCACAAGTCCACCATGTATTTATAATATTCACTCGTAGGCAGCTGAGCCATTCGTGTCAGCGTCTCGGGAAGGAGAGTAGTAAACTCAGGGAGTATCACTCTACAGACTCCCCGACGTCGCCGGAAAGCCGTTAACCTTCACATCGCGTTACACTTGCATTAGTGGCACAGTGACTCACACGAAGTCATTAGTGATAGGCTTGTTGCCCCCATTGATTATTCTCAGCTCATTACGCCCATTGAATGTCCGCACTAAATGCTCAA